TGCAAAATAGCTCAAACTCAAATCCCAATAAAATACATTTACGTTTTTTGGTTGTAACATGACAAAATGTGGAATATTTCAATGGGTATGAATAATTTTTCAAGGCACTGTATATGTTGCCTATTTTAGAAAATTGATTAGTTGTGAATATATAGAAGCTCATTACACCCTGCTACTATGATGGCTCATTCACACCATGGTGCAGAGATATCCATTTTTCTGCACGCGTTCTGCAAGGGCACAACAAAATCAATTGTTCGCTATTTTCTTTGTTCACACCACAACACTAGTATCACATGCAGATTTCTGATTTTCTGCGCAGGAATCTGCAAAGTGTATAAAACTCATTGAGGCACATATGAAAACTGATGTAAACTGATGTCTCTGCAAGTGAAATCTGCATGTCAGTTTCCATCAGTTTTTCTGCACATATGTTGTGAACGAGGCTGGAATGTTCCTGTCAGATTAATGTAGAACTTAAAGTGTTACTAAACCCACAACAGTAAAATCAGTCTGTATATGCAGTAAAGCATACTTGTTATACTCACTGTGGAACCTAAGGGGTTAATCCTCTGCATCGTGTAAAAAGGCTGTTTGCTCCTTTCTTTTCTTATCCTCCCCTTCTTCCAGTGCCCCTCTCTTATCTCCTCATAAGACATATCGTGTGGAGACACTCTGCACATGTTCAGTTTGGTGTGTATTGCCAGAGAGGTTTTTTTTTTCTTGGGAGAGTGCATGTGATCAGCACAGGGCCAATCAGCACTGTTCAGACAGAGGTCAGGGGTTCTGCATCCTCCTAAAGCAGAATGAAAACTCCTCCTACAATCTTTAACCAGTGCTCTTCTGAACACTGATAGAAGTCACAAGACTGCTCTGATGATGAGAAAAGGTATTTAGCAATTTATAGTTACTAAAATAATTGCATTTTCATTTTCTGTGTACTGTGGGAGACCAGATATAATGAATGCAGGATCCTGGGATTAGTAATACTTTAAAATCCAAACAGTTCAATGAAGGAGCCAACAATCATTCCAAAATGTGCCAGATGGAATTTGCTTGCTTACTGTTTTGAATTGGCAACAACTGACCTTGATAATTCAGTGATTTCAGCCTTAGGCCACTTAGACACTGGTGCGCTTTAAAAATTATATGCATTTTTAAAAACTCAAATTGCGTTTTTAAATGCATTGACTTGAAATTTAACGCACTGCATATGTGGTTTACATGTGTTTTTGCATGCATTTCATGGCTGGTCACTGGCTGTTACTGTGACCACTGTTCTTAACAATCCATGAATAGCTGGTTGTTAAGAAGCTCACACCTGCCGGCGTCCTTAAAAACTGGTGAATAACTGGTTGTTATGGAGCCGGCATCTGCCAGTGTCCTTAACAACCAGCTAGAGGGGCATGTCTGGAACATGGACAGATCAGCTCCTAACCAAGATGGCGCTGACCTGTTTTGCTTCCACAAGAGTGATGTGCTTGGCAGGTGCACCTTCCTCAGAGTGGCAGGGTCTTAAACTGCAAGACCCCTGACCTATGCTGCCTTCATACTAGGACTTAGAGACCTCTCAATCTGACACACATCAACAACCAGCTATTCACTGGTGGTTAAGGACACCAGTGAGTGCCGACTGCTTATCAACCAGCTTTTCACAGGTTGTTAAGGATGCCGGAGGGTCCTGGCTCCTTTGCAACCAGCTTCTTTTTAAAAGAAAATAGTCATGACCCAAAAAATTCACCATCAGTGAATCTTTTTTTCTTTGTTGTATTTCCATTTACTTAAAATGGAATGTGCATCTTTGGTGCGCTTTTGAAAAGCTCACTAAAGATGCAGCATGCAGGACTTTTCAAAGCACAACAGAAACACAGCACAGCATTGTGAAAAGTTACATAGTATTTAAATGGGAATAATTTTGATGCACTTTTGTTTCGGCGGAAAGGTGCATTCTAGACCAATCAAAAGCGTACCAGTGTGAAAGGGCCTTAAAGGCTCAAGTTTATGCTGATCTAAAAACTGCCATTCACATGAACACATGATTTTGATTAGAAATTCTGCTATTAACCATAAAACCCTTATAATACTGATTCTACTGGGAATGTTTTATGTATATGTGCTCTACCTATAGAAGGCTGGACAGTAAAACAGTTGCTCTTCAACTATAAACCATATCTTTTTCAAACTGATTTATCTGTGCAGGAGAAAGAAAGTAGAGACCTTCTTGAAAACTACCGAAAATGTTCATCACAAGCAGAGATTTGGGAGAATAAGTTTCACCAGCTTGAAAAAGAATTTAATTCTGTCAAACTGGACCTTCTTGATGCAGAATCTGAGCGACGGAGGTTTAAAGAGAGAGTGGATTCCTTAGACGTGGAAGTTGAACAGGTAAGATGCATATATTAGAGCATTTAGTATTTTTTATTATCCACAAAGTAACTTGTTAAATGTTTTCTTTATTTGCCTCATGAAGGTGGAGGTTTAGTTCTTATGCATTCCTTACAACTTGCCCGCTTGTTAAAGCTTGACCACATGACCTCCGGAAGATTTACCCCCTTTCATTACCAGGCCATTTTTTGTGATACTGTGTTATTTTAACTGACAATTGCGCGGTCATGCAATGTTGTACATAAATTAAATTTATATCATTTTTTCCCACAAATAGAGCTTTCTGTTTGTGGTATTTGATCATCTCTGCATTTTTTATTTTTTGAGCCATAAATGAAAAAACACTGACATTTAAAAAAAAAAAAACTTTTTACTCTTTTTTACATATCCAATAAAATTTTTTAACAAATCTAATTTCTTCATAAATGTAGGCCAAAATGTATTCTGCTGCTTATTTTTGGTAAAAAAAAAAATCCCAATAAGTGTATATTGATTGGTTTACGCAAAAATGTTTGCAATAATTGAATGAAGTGGGGATCGTAACATCACCACCCTGCCTCTCCACCTCATCAGAGAAGTAAGGAGTAAATACATGCTTTACATCTCGTTCCAGTAGGCTCCCTCCAGCACTGTGACCTGTGCCCCACAGCCTGCTCCATAAGGGGAAATGGCATGATTCCTGAATCCTGCCTTTCTATCCCTTAATGCCCCTGGAGGAGGTGCAGCAAGGCCCTTGCTGCGACTGTTGGTGCATGAAGTCTTTCCCCTGCCTTTCACTGGCAAGGAATTGGTGTGCCCACTTTTAAGTTTGGTGTTTGAGGGGGCTGCCTTTCACAGCAATTCGGGCTATGGGCCCTTCTGCTCCTGCTCCAGTCCCCTCTACAGTGGCAGCGTAGCAGCGCATGCAAGTGCCATGTTCTCTGAGCATGAACGGACCTTGTTGTCTTCCTGCTGACTCTTCGATACTTCAGTTCTATGATATTCTGGATGGAATCTGGGCTCCCTGCTGCCTTACAAGTGACTTGGTCACAGACCGTATTAACCCTTCCTGCTCCAGCAACGAGTTTGTGAGTACCCTTGTTAGCTGTCTCTCATTCTGTACTAGTATGGTGGATGACAAGCTCAAGGGCAGCGGTCCTGGGGGCTTTTCTAGCTTCCCATCTGCTAACAGTATGGGGGATCTCGTAGTATCATCTTTATAGGACCTGATTCCAATAACCCAGATTACTGACCTCTGTCTGGGTTGCAGCACTCCTCTCAGTCTTCCTTTACTCCTTCAGGGGTTATCCCTTTCTCTGTATTGATTAGGGTAGAATTCTCAGATACTCAGTCCGAGTTTATGGGCAAAATTGCAGCTATGATAGCTGATTCAGTTTGCAGGGGCAGCAAGCGTGTTTCCATGTCCTCTTCTTTAGAATCTCTAAATTCTCTGAGGATACAGTTGCTTGTGCACATTCAGCTGAGAATGAGGAGTATTGTACATTATCCTTATTTGTTAATTTGGTACCTGGAATGGTTTCAAGGTTTGTATTCTAACACTGCTCTCAAAAGCAAACAGTAGCATCCATCCCATAATGGATCCTACGATTTTTGCTGCATCTGACAGTAGTTCTCCTTCCTGAGCCACCTGAGACACAAGACAGCATTCTGTCTGAATCCTTAGATAATATTGCCTAATAACTTTTTTCTGGTGAACCATAAACTCCTTTCTCCTCCCATGAACTTTCTATTTAAGCCATGCCTTTGCACTTCCTGTTTGCCAGATTATTGTGCTCTCTGCAGCCGATATCTTGCTCCTTTTAGTACCGGCAGTTGTCCTTATCTCCACTAACACTAGTTACTGACCTTTGGCTTGTCCACTTGATCCCAACCTGCAACCACTTGTTACCGACATTTGGAATGTTTACTGACTACTCTACTGCTTGATCCCTACCTGATAAATCTGCTACTGGACCCCAACTTGCTCACCTTCTAGTGGGGCTATCCTGAGGGCTGCAACCTTGTACTAACATGCAGCAAAACCCTTCTCCACCATCGAGCTCTGGTAAATACTGTTACTGCTTAGACTCTGCACCTTGGGTGAGCCTGCATCATCCATGAGGGTGACCTGCTTGTGTACTTATCCAGCTGGTTGGTGGGAGCCTTTCTAATGTTATAGCTACTGGTCTCAGAGCCTGACTTCTGACTGTGACAACCTTCCTCCGGGTGCAAAAGTTTTCATGGAAACTGCCTGATCTGTTATGGCTTCCTTCAATCGTGGAGACGTCTGTGGAGATCAAGGAATTCTACTTGCATGCCTCCTTTCTTCCCAGCACATCAATGCTACCTGCATTTTGCTGTGGGCAGGCAACAATACTAATGTTTTGCCCTTCCCTTTAGCCTGTCTTCTGCACCTTCACTTTTAGGGCATCCTCATTGTGGGATATCTGGATGACTGTCAGGGCTCCGGGTATGACCAGAAGTGTGTGGACTGAAATAGGGAAATGCAGGCTTCAGGTATAGTGTAAATAAGACAATTTATTAAGACTAAACAACACAAACGCAGTGCAAGGTAAACATAACACAGTGCAAACAACCGAAACTCCAACAGATAACCATATATACAAATCAAACTTAGTCGGGCAGGCCGGGTCGGTAGCAAACGGGCAAACAGGGTACCAGGAGCGAGCGGAAGAGTGGTCAGGAATATCCAAGGTCAGGACAGGAGGAGTTCGTTCAGAGTCAGGATCAAAGCAGAGTCAGGATCAGGCAGGAAGCAGACAGGATGCAGGTACAGGGGCTCATGGGAAACATACACCAAGGCACTGACTGCAGGTCTGGCCATTCCTTAAATACACCTCCTGAAATCAGCCTCAGGTGATGGCTGATTGCAGGAGTGAGCTTCTGGTTGCTGAGAGCACCCGCTGGCCAGCCCTGGTACTGCAGCCCACACAGCAGATGAGTTACACCACTAATGGTGAGTCCATTCCTGACAGTACCCCCCCCCCCAAGGAGCGGCCTCAGGACGTCCCAAACAGTCCTTTGTGGGCAAAATGTTCCACCGCCCGGGTCAGGTAACTGGCTGGATATCCTACTGCCGGAGTCAACCGGCTCGCTGGGTTTCCTGCTGGTAGACTTCTCCTTGTGTAGGAGAACCCAGCAAGGCAGATTACTGGACACAGGATCTCCCGGAGCAGGCTGGGAATCAGTTATTGGCCAGTTTAGCTGGACATCAGGGGCTGGCACATCAGGCTGGGCAGTGAGCGGAGGCACATCAGGCTGGGCAGCGAGCGGAGGCACATCAGGCTGGGCAGCGGACAGAGGCACATCAGCCTGGGCAGTGGACAGAGGCACATCAGGCTGGGCAGCGGACAAAGGCACATAAGGCTGGGCAGCGGACAGAGGCACATCAGGCTGGGCAGCGGACGGAGGCACATCAGGCTGGGCAGAGCGGACAGAGGCTCATCAAGCCGGATAGGATCATCAGGCTGGATCGGGTCATCAGGCTGGATCAGGCCATCAGGCCGGATCAAGCCATCAGGCCGGATCGGGCCATCAGGCCGGATCGGGTCATCAGGCTGGATAGGGTCATCAGGCTGGATCACGAACACCGGGTCATCAAGCTCGACAGCGGGCACCGAGTCATCTGATAGAACAGCGGGCACCGAGTCACCAGGCTGGACCACGGGCACCGAGGCACCAGGCCGGACCATGGGCACCAAGGCACCAGGCCGGACCACGGCACCGGGGCACCAGGCCAGACCACGGGCACCGGGGCACCAGGCCGGGTCGGTAGCAAACGGGCAAACAGAGTACCAGGAGCAAGCGGAAGAGTGGTCAGGAATAGCCGAGGTCAGGACAGGTGGAGTTCGTTCAGAGTCAGGATCAGAGCAGAGTCAGGATCAGGCAGGAAGCAGACAGGATGCAGGTACAGGTGCTCATGGGAAACATACACCAAGGCACTGACTGCAGGTCTGGCCATTCCTTAAATACACCCTCAGGTGAGGCTGATTGCAGGAGTGAGCTTCTGGTTGCTGAGAGCACCCGCTGGCCAGCCCTGGTACTGCAGCCCACACGGCAGATGAGTCCCACCACTAATGATGAGTCCATTCCTGACAATGACCTTCTTCTTAGGGCATAGTCAGCTCAGGCTCTACCAGCCACTGTCCAAAAAACTGTGCAGAGCCTACAGAGATTTTAGTGGATCCTAAATCCCAATAAATCAGTGCTGTATATTTCTCATCCCTTGGAGTATGTGGGCCTAATCTTAGACACAGCCCTGTCCAAGGCCCTAGACAAACTCTTCTCTCTCTGATCCCAAGTTTAGGCTCTCCAGGAGCCATCAGACTCTCCATGTTTGGTATTCTCTTTCAACGCAGTTCCATATACCCAATTACAATCCAGACCATTGCAACTCTATATTCTGGCAGCGTAGGGCAAGAGAGAACAGTCTATGGATCATCCCATACTTCTGACCAACAGGACTGGGCATGGTCTGGCATGGTGGATAAGAAGTTTGGTGCTGGAATTAGGAAAATATGTACTCCTAATAGTTTGGAAGGTGCTCACAGTTGATACCAGCCTATCAAGCTGCATGGGAATCCTAGTTACCCTCTCAGCACAAGGCACATGGACACTGGATGAAGCTAGGCTCCCAACGAATATTCAGAATATTCAGAAACCCTTGGTGTTTTAGTTATCTGTTTAATGCTAGACCTCTTGTCTCCAAGGCCATTGGACCAGAATTCAGTTGAACAGTGCCACAGAAGTGGCTTACATCAACCATCAGCCAGGCACCAGAAGTCTCTTGGCTCAAAGAGAAGTGAATCTGATTCTGGCTTGGGTAGAACTTCACATTCAAGCCGTGACCACTGTGCACATCCCAGGTGAGGAAACTGGCAGGCAGGCCTTATCAGTTATTTACGTTTGGACTCCAGGGAGTGGTCTGTTCCCACTGAAGTGTTTCAAGTTTGAAGGTGGGGGATGACAGATGGGGACTTCCTGGCTTCCAGGTTCAACAGCAAACTCAACAGGATTGTTTCTAGATACAGGGATTCTCAAGCCTTCAAAGTGGATGCTCTGGTGACTCCTCAGGATCGAGATGGAGGGCGTTCTAGTGATTTTCATGGCACCAATCTGGCCAGGAAGGACTTGGTACTTGGACCTTAGCAGACTCTCTGTAGGTCCTTCCAGATATTTCAGATCTTCTTTCTGGCCGACTTTCCATCCTGCTCGTTCTCTTCAACAACTTGGCTGCTGAATCCCTGATCCTGAGGGAGAAGATCAAATTTGGTCATCCCTACACTCTTAAAAGCTAGGAAATAGATGTCATGCAAAGTCTCCAATCACACCTGGCAAGCATATTTCTCTTAGTGCAAGACAAGGAAATTTCATCCCTGGAAGTTCTGTGTGGGAATAATCCAGTCTTTTCTCCAGTCTGGTCTGTATAAGCATTTGGCTTTGAGCTCCATCATGGTTCAGATCTCAGCCTTGCTGTTTTTCAGGTACTGCTTGCCTTTCATGCCTTATTTTGATCAGGGCATTCATGTTGTTCCACCTGTATGTTCCTCAGTGACTCTGTAGGATCTAATTTTTACTGGCTTTTCAAAGACCACCCTTTAACCTATTAGGGATATTCCAGTGTCTAGCCTTACTCCCTAGGTTGCCTTTCTCATTGCCATCAAATCTGCAAGTCTCTAAGCTGCTGAGCATGTAAAAGACCATTTTTTTGTACTAAGCAGAGCCAAGGGTATTTTGAGGCTCCAGGCCTCTTTTCTTCTAAACAGGCTTTCTGCTTTTCCCCTTAACCAGGACATTTTTTCTGCAATCTCTGTCCTGCTCCTAAACATCTTAAGGATATTTCCCCCCATTGACTGGATGTCGTACATGCCTGGATGAGGTACTGTTTAAATTTTCCTCTCAGCTATTGCAGCTTCTGGCAGCCAGACTCCGGAAGGTCCATAGGGGACAGCCTACTCATTCCAGAATTGTTAGGTGGATTTGAGAGCTCATCATTTAAACTTACAGTATGACCTCAAAGACTAGGTATCCCTTTCTCTGTCAAAGTGCACTTCATTTGACCATTTAGTGCTTTGTGGGTTTTTCAGCATCAAGCACATGTTGACTTCCTGTAAAATCCTTTTCTTGGAGAATATTACATGACACAGGTCCCTTCCCGCTATTCTTATGATCCACTCCTATAATTGTTTGCTGCAAAAAATGAGGGTTGCCTGGAATGGGAGGGGTCATACGGGGCTGTTCTAACAGCTTTGTTTTGCCAGTGTTCTATCTCCTGAAGGCAGCAGCATAACCTCATGTACCTGAATCCTGTTTTTCTGTCAATTATTGAATATTTTGAAAATGACTGGTTTCTAGAAAATTTGCTGCCAAAAAAATCACCCTAAATTTCGTTGCACTTTAGTTGCAAATTTGCAGAGAAGGAAAGCATGGTGAGCTATCTACAGTGAAGAGCTGCTTGTTCTGTGATGGCCATACTCAGAAATAAAGTCAGATACAAACCCATGGTAAACCGGACAAACTTTCTGAGAAGGTACAGTATCAGATCAATTCTGCTCTGACACTGTAGAGTGTACAAGACACTATAGAGCATACAACAAGTTATTTTGTTATCTTGGAAAAGGGAAGTAGAAATTTGACATAATGTAACAATTTTCACATTTTGTACAACTTTTCAAAAGAGAGAACAAAAATAAGAAATATAGGATACCATACGATGGATTTATTAGAGACCAAGGATAGCAGTAGAGTGTAGTTTCAAAATAAAAGGGACACAACACTCTTCATAATAGGAGGCTAACTAAAGTCGATTCAAGGAGAGTCTTGAGTTACTTGGGACAAGGAAAGGATTTGGAGGTGGATGAACCCACCAATACTTCTTAGGGTAAATGAGAAAGGGGGGGAGAGAAAAGGGATATAGGTAGGACAGATAGAAAATAGATATTTCCAGTGGACACACCTCCCCCTACAGTGGTAGAATGTCTTGGCCAAACCCTCTGGAAAGAAACTTAGAGCTCCAGGGCTGCAAGATGCACAGGAGTTTATCCATTTTTTCAGTCTGTTTTGCTTTAAACTTTTTGTGGCGCAAGACTGAATTAATTCTTGACTTAGTTTCAGCCAGGGGGAGGGATTGTTTGATTAGCTGCTGTCAGAAGGTGGATACATTGTTTGAATTTCTTTTCAGGAAGACTTGGATGTTTAAGATTTAAGAGAGTGTGCTGAGCTAAGAAGGGAATCAAGAGGTCTAATAGAAATAATCTGAAACACTTCCTCTCAAAACTGCCATGCTGCTGGGCAGGTCTACCATATGTGGAGAAGGTTTCCATTTGTCTGCACCCCCTAAAGTAGTGTGGTTGATACCCCACTTACAATCAGAAGTGCCTATCACAAATATGATATAAGTGCTAATACATGCTTTCAGAAGCAGATTTCACAATTTGCTTAACATCAAAGTCTTTTTGTGGAAAATATGTAGCTCAACGTACACAAAGGAGCTAGGATTACCACCAGAGTTCATGCAAAGTTCTTCTGTTGGGCAAATTAGATGGCATTTCTAAATATTTGCTTTGCCTGTGATATATATATATATATATTTATTTATATTTTGTTTTTCATCATCAGCATATTACCTCAGAGCAGTCCTACAAATCTCAGTTAAGCAACTTGACCAAATCAGCAGCAAGGATGGAGGAAGAGCTGCGTCAGGCCAAATCAGAAAAGGCTTCAGCTCTCAGTGACCTGGCCACTACTCGAGAGCTTTGTGTTAAATTAGATTCTGGAAAAGAGTTGATAAACCGTCAGCTTCAAGCCAAAATCCAAGATGTAGAGAAGGTATGTTACCGTGTAGAATATAAAGTAAAATACATGTGGGCAAGGCCCAGGTTCCTGTTAATGTCAATATGTTGAAAATATAAGCAATGGTTCTGTTGAAAGTAACCTCTGCTTCAATAGTTTGAGAAGTTGTAAACAATATTTGGTAGTTAAAGGGTTTGGTAAGAAAGGCAACACAGAAATATGGTTTTAATTAGAAACCGTGAACAAACAAGTATTGAATGTAGTTAAAAAAATAATACAAAGGCCATATTATCTCCCTAAATTAAAAATACATTGAATATATTCTCCCAGCATTAACACCTATCTATAGAAAGTTCTCAAACCTACAGAATTGTAGATATTTGACATTTTTATCATTGTATTATGCATCCTATTGCTCTTGACAGGCAACCACTGTAGACAAATGGAGGTAATAAAATGGCTTTTTTGTTGGTTTCTTCTATGGGGTTTTCAGACAGAAGGCCAGCTGTGTGTCTGGAAAAATATTGCTTTCCACTATGCCTTTTTAGTTAAAGTTGTCTCAGACCTTTTAGGTTACATTCCTGCATTTGTTGCTTAAAAATGCATTTCAAGTTGAAATCCCAACTATTATTTTCATGTTGCTGGTTCATATCTAAGCACCACTTAGCACAGTTTTAAAAAAATTATGCACATAACATTTCTGTGTTTAAAGGAGAAGTATGGCCAAAGCTATTTTGGCTATACTTCTCCTATGGATCACAGGAGTGCACTTTGTTCTGCACTCCCGTGACCCGTTTTCAGCGGATAGCGGGCTAAACCCACTAGTGGTTGACATCACCAGCCGGACCAGGCTCTGGAAAGATCCTGATTTTAAAGTTGGGATCCACCCAGATGCCTGGACCAGCACCTGGCTCAACCTCTCAGCTAAGAGCCTGAGCCAGTTGTTTTCGCCCCCTGGCACTTAATGGAGCGCTGGAGGGGCAGAGCAGAGAGCTGGTGACTGGCAGACCTGCAGACTGTATACTAAGAACTGAGGGATCAGCAGTCTTTGATCACTCAATTCTCGGGGTAGAGCCGGTGAGGGACATCTGCAGCTGGGATTGGTGCTGCAGCCATCTAGGTGATTTTTTTTTTTTTTTTATATTCCCACTCT